TGTATGAGCGGTTTGACCGTTGCTTAGCACATACTACCTATTAGATCTCTGAAACATAAATCGCCTCCAGTTTGTTTTGATTTTTTTGCTGCATCTACACAGGACTGCCATTGGGTAAGTCACTCATGAATAACAGCAGAGGAAAAAAATGCCCTAGATAGAGAAGGTTTTTTAACCTCCCTAAGCTTCCCTCCCTTTCAGGCTGAAGAGGACTGGCAGACAGAATACAAGAGCAGGGCAGGTGCGCATAGCGGGCACCTCACCACCACCACTAACTAGGTGTTACTGTTATTTGGGGGGTAAGGGAGCTGTTCAGAGGCAAGCAGAACAGTTAGCATTTTACATGTGTCTATTTCCTTCTCTTTCTCCCAACTGTGATCTTTCCTGACCTCGAAAGGAACCAGGAAAGGGAAGACTTTCTGCCACAGTCCTCAGAGAAGGAACAAAGTAAAACTGACTTGGAGCCACATGTATGATTAACCACACATCCCATTTGTCCCTGCCTGCCAAGGAGCTTGGAACCAAATTTCAAACTCAATCATACCAACCACATCAACCCATATGGCTAACAAACTACACTTGTTTTTCTTTTGTCCTCATTTTGTATTTCTGCTTACATGGTTGGTATGTCTATTGTTTTAAGCCCATCCCAAATCTTTTTTTGGAATAAGGCAGAGAATAAGCAAATACATAGAAGTAAGGAGGGTTCTGAGCTTTCTGATAGTGAAGTTATTAAACCTGGCCCCCTTCCCATGATAACAGAGCCTCCAGATCCTCACACCCCCCCCTACAGTCAGTCACTGTCATTCCCATAACAGTTGCTCCTTTAAGGTCAAAACAAATACATAAATTTAAACACTCATGTCGTTTACAGGCATACCTGGGAGACATTGAGGGTTCAGTTTCAGACCACCGCAATAAAGCGAGTGATCTTTTTGCTGGTGGAGGGTCTAGCCTTCAATTTGTAAAAGTGCAACACCTGTGAAGCACAATAAAGCCAAGCGCAGTGAAACAAGGTATGGCTGTATACACCCGCGTGACGCTAGCTAAGGGCTTATCCTCAGCAGCTTTCATAATGAGCAAGCAATTAGATTGGTCAAAAATATAAAAGATACATCACCACTTAAAAGCAGGTCACAATAACAATTAGATGATAGAAAACAAAATTGCTGCCATTCCAGCAACTAATGAAAGTATGTTACTGTAAACAAGCCAGTGGTGGTGCTATAACCCTTCCTGGGAACCAGCAAACAGCCTGAGGGACCAAACTGACAGGGGGTAAGGGATGACGGTTCATTTTACTTTGCAGTCCAAGAGGACAAGGAGCTGGTTTTTATAGGATGACACTTAGGACACAAGCCGGCTTATTCTAAAAGACAAAGCTGATTTCTCAGGACCGTTTACCCTCTTCTGCCCTCCACTGTTGCCAGATAGTCTTCTTCCAGTTTCCTGTTTCCTTCCAAGCCTGTTGTTTCCAAAACCAATGATTACAAATGAGAGGTGTGGTCTCAGATGAAAAATACAACAGACCTGTGCTGTCCTAATGAGAACCTAGCAGGGAGGCCAATGGCAGAACAGTGCTTTGCAACAGACGACTGACTGTATACATTAGTATAACAAGTGGGTTTCTGATACAAATGCTCTGCTGGCCTATAAAAGTGTTTATCTAACTAAAGTGTAATTGTTTCCCTAAATCTTGTCAATCTGCTGTGGTTTTTACTTCCAGGTGAAGGCTCTTCACCTCCTCCATACAGGAAAGGAGCAGCCTTTTCTCAGCCGAAGAACAACCTTAAGATGCCTGGGAGAAAGAAATTTAGTAAAATGTTAGAGAGGAATGATTTATAATAGGTCTTAATGCTGATCGTGCACCAATAACAAGCCAAAGGAAATAGGGCTGATTCAGTAATTCTCTTGCATTTAAGGAGGACATCATGAAAAACAACTGCAGCGGTCATCAGAGTCGAAGTCAACTATGGCTTGGAGCCAGGATGGCTTTGTTTTTGCTAATTTATAAGCAACAACATTTACTATTTCGTTTTAAAAACTATTTGCCTTTAACATCCGGTAGAGACACTCACAAAGGCTGCCTCTGGTCTTCCCACTACTACCCCCAAAACAGACCGGCTGTGATTTTTAGCACAGACCATATAATAACGTATCTATAAAAATCAAGTTGCCCAGTAAGAATAACAGAAAGAGTTGGGTGAGTTTAGGTTGGAGGAGGAAGCAATCTTGGCTAAAAAGTGAATACTGTTAAGGTAAACTCTATGGGCCAATTAGAATGTTAGCAGGTCAAATTGTTGTTGGTTTTGTTTTTTTTTTTTAAAGTATCTTTCCTGAGATAAAATTCACATACCATAAATTTCACCCATTTCAAGTGCAATTCAGTGGGTTTCAGTATACGCACATTTATCAAAGGTATTTAGTATATTCAGTTGTGGAACCATCAGCACAATTTAATTTTAGAACATCTGTCCCCCGCAAAAGAAATCCTAGACTCATCAGCACTGCATTGAAACCCCCATTTCTCCCTTTCGCCCTTCAGCCCTAAGTGGCCACTAACTTACTTTGTCTCTATAAACTTGTCTCTTCTGGACATTTCATATAAATGGAATCATACAATATGTGGTCTTTAGTGTCTGTCTTCTTTGTCTTTCTCTTAGTGTAACGTTTTCAAGGTTCCTCCATGTGGTAGCCTGGATCACTACTTCATTCATTTTTATTGCTGAATGATATTCCAGTGTATGCGTATACCACATTTTATTTATCCACTCATCATGGATGGATGTTCGGGATGCTTCCACTTTTCAACTGTTATGAATAATGCTGCTATGAATATTTGTGGACAAGTTTTTGTGTAGACATATGTTTTCATTTCTCTTGAGTACAATGTACTTAGGAGTAAAATTGCTGGGTCATATGGTTCAAATAATTTTTAAAACTGTTTGCATGGCTGCAGTAATGTTTTTCCAGTCATATATGAAGGAGGTGAGAGAGATTTAATATATCTCCACCCCATCCTACCACCCATAAAGAAACGTTTTCATTCTCTCTTGGTCATGGCCCTCCTGCTCTAATGTCCTCTCCACTCACTCTCCACACAGCAAACACTCTGAGGCCCACGACGAGAGCTCGAAGCCAGATGAAATTTCCAAAGATCACTTATCCCAACATCTTGTTGTCAAACAGGACTGGACTACAACCATCTAATTCTTAAAAGTCCCCAAAGAGGGAAAGAATGCAATTTCCCTCAGTTGCCTGTGCTCAGAAATATCTTCAAATCACTAACCCCAAATCACATACATACTGTACAAATACTGAAGGAAGAAGAATAATGATCAGGTTTTAAAACAAGTTTTAGAGACTATCCCCCCTTTCTTTAATTCCTCTCTGAACACGTCATGTCACCTGATGCCCGCTAATTGTATGTATTCTCAGCACTGCCATGTCCTAAAATGAGTTCCATTTTGATCCAACGTAGTAAATACAACTGTGGGAGACCTCCGCTGCCGTTCCTTGAGGTATTTTTCTTTTGCTTCGATAGTCTTCTTTGAATCTATTTTCAGAGTCAACAACAGGACCACACAATTTAACATCCAGAATTTTCTGCTGTTGCTGCTTCTGTAATAGCCCGAACTTTCTCTTCTTTCGTGGTTCCTCTGAGAAGCATATATAAAATGAGTAATTACTGCTGCTAAAGAATTGCTGGAGTCAGCAACACTTCATAGGAACTGCATTTCCTCCTCTCCTCCTTGTTCTCCCACCACAAATTCTCCCCCATAAGTTAAGAATTAAAGACATATTACTGGGATAAAGAAACCTGACCTGAAATATGTGTTGCAGCTCCAATGGCGAGCAACCAAGAGTGTTAACAAAGTAGCTGGAAAGGTTAGATAATTTGCCTTTGGAACAAGCCAACTCTGCACACTGTCACAAGATTAAAATCAGTTTGCTTTTCCTTCTGGACACCTCGTCTCTCCTATTTTTACTCCCCCAAAAAGGCAGGGTGGTTGAGGCAGATAAACAAATCATTTTGGCAACTAACTTTCTCGACCAGAAGAGAGCTCAAAGATAAATTCCATTGTGCATTAATTTTCCTATACTTCACTGTGATCATAATTTTTTGTGGTTTCTCTCTCCCTGGAGAGATAATAGTTAAGTGATAACGTTTCTGACATACAGAAGCTTAAAAACAGAAAGAATGTGTGTTATCTTTTAAAAAGTATGATGATCATTCACCCACAATCTAGATCATCTCTAAGCCATAGGAAAGAGTCCGTTTCTCTCTTAAGGTTTGTTTTAACTCACGCTCTTAACTCATTTGACCTCAGGCAAGGAAGTTATCTCTGCACCTGTCTATCACCTGTAAAATGAAGATAATAATAGGACTTCATGGAGTTAATGTATAAGTGCTTCAAACAGTGCTGAGGACAGAATAAATACTGAGTCATCATCATCATCACCACCAAGACCACCACCATCTTTGAGAAGCTGCCTGCATAGCATAAGATAATACTTCATGCAAGTATGAAGTATTACCAGTATTCCAGAGTGTTCCCATTTCCCTTGACTCATCCTGCAAGAATGATAGGTTCATAAGACAAAGCAAAGAAGGAAGAAAGACAGGGCACAAGAAGAGATGGGAGAGACATTTTACAATAACGGAGAAATGGCACCTACTTTTGTTTTTTCACAGCCATGTTTAAAAGAAATTCTTAAGAACGTTCTTTCCAATATGCGGGGAGGGACAGGAAAATTAGAAAGCCAAGAAATCTCTAGAGAAAGAAGTCCTAGAGATGCCCAGTCCAGAGAGCAATCTGTTATTTGAAATCCTTCTCTTGAAATCCTGTCAAGCATTCGTAGAGTGTCCTACTCCCCACTTATGTTCATACACGAGCATCCTTGTGAGACCCAGAATGGAAGAAAAGGACTCTTCGTTCCGAAAAATGTCGTTACAAACGTAGAAGGGCAACGGGTAGAAAGCTGACACCTGTGCCTACCTCTCTCTGCGGCTGGCCAGGTCCCTGGTCGGCGGCACGGAGGTTTAGGACGTGCACCTCCCCTGCTGGACAGCCTGACAAGACGGTAAAGCTCTCCATCAAGGCCTGGACCGGATGGGAGGCATTGACGGGCGACAGTTCACACTGGGTGCTGGGCTCTGGACCTGCAGAGGGAATCACAAAATGGGAACCGCTCAGAAACCACAATCGATTGTGCCACAATTAACTTACTTGTTCTGGATGGTCAAGCCACTGCTAGCCCACCAGAGGGGTCTCTCCAGACAAGCTGTTTCCAGGACTAAATGGCAAAAAAAAAAAAAAAAAAAAAAAAAAAAGAAAAAAAGAGAGAAAAAGAAAAAAAAACTAGCCTATTCTTCCAAAACTCCAATCTCTTAAATTCCTTTTGGATGATTTTGATATGTATTTGATTATTTAAATTCTCTTTTAGATGCACAAGTCATAAATGTATTCCTCTGGAGGGAGGAAACCTCCCGTTTGACATCTGTGTTCAATTCTTCATTCCTCTCTTAGAAGAAACCCAGATATAAGTGAAACAAATTGGCTAAAGCCCAATAATATTATACATAAATAATATTAAACACCTAAAATTGTTACCCTCCAAAAAAAAAAATAAGATACAGTTCCTACCTTTTAGTTACTTCTCCATCTCAGAGCAAGCAAAACAAACTTCAAACAATACAAAGCAAGATGAAATGAGTGGAGGCGATTGGGGCCAGGGCCGTAGAGCAAAGTTTGGGCCAGAGGTCAGAAAAATACTCCTAAGAGAGGTAAGGTGTGAGCAGAGCCTCAAATAGAAAAAGCATAACCCTAGTCATAATTGACTCGTACGTCCTCATTCTCTCTTTCTCTAATCAATCAGACCTTAAATCCTAAATCCATCCATTCCTCCCCATCTTTACCTCCTGTAGCTCTGTCTGTGCCCCCAGACAACTGCAGATCTTCCTTAAAGGAGTCTCAGCTATCCAGCCCTTCAAGCCACTTTACATATAAGCACTTTCCACCTTACCCAGGGGTGCTAAACTAAATGGTCATTCCAAATGCAAATGCCTGCCCGTCCCATTTCGCAAGCCTGTCCTGTCCCCCAGAGAACTGCTGGCCTTATGAATAAAGCTTGAGTTCCTTGACTTGGCACACAGGGCCATTCCTCTCTCTCCAGCCTCACGCCTCTGCACTCCAGCAACACCAGATGGCTTAATGGTCTCCAGACATATCATGATGTTCCTCAACTCCATGTGTTTATTCAAACTTGTTCCCTTTACCCAAATTCCTCTTCCACTCTAACTCCCACAACATCTCAAACTGAGGGAGGTACTTTCTCTATCCTCTTATAATTTCTCTGCCCGTCTCTGCTGTTTCACTTTCCGTACTGTACCCACCAGTGTACACATCCCTTTGCCAGTCCAGTGTGGCCTCCCTGATGGCCCTGGGTTACTCATCTTTGTATTCTCAGCACCCATCATGGGGCCTGTCTCAACAAATATTTGTTAAATAATCACTGAGCTTAAAAAAAAATTCTCCTTCCCCTGATCGGTAATTAAGGCATCATTCCGGGGACTTGATTTGGCTCTAAGAAACCAATATGGAAAACAGGTTGCTAAAATGATAGGAGGTACAACCCCACCACATTTTAGCTTCATTTGACATTGGCTGGATTGATAGAGGGACGTCTAGGAAAAGGGAGGAAATTTCCAAACATAAATCTCAGACACATCTGTAAGCTTGGTCTTACCCCCATTTGATAGCTGGGGAGGCTGAGACTTGAACATACTGTGTCCTCCAAACCTCAACCTTCCAAATAGAAGTTGGAAAAAAACCTGAGTGCACTCCAATTAGCGCTTCCTGATTTCTACATAATAAAGACACTCTCCAGGATTGCAGCTCTGGTCTAAAATACAAATGCAGTTCAGAACCAGGCAGTCCTGTACTCCCACTGCTATACCATGAACAGACTCCCTGCCAAGTCTATTTCAGAACTCACGGAAATTATCTAGGCTGATAATAGTTATCTGGTCTGAAATGAAGTATGTACCTTCTCAAATAATCACTGCCACCCTTTCTATTACTGTACTGTGTCCAGCTGCTTTCTGAGAAAGATAGGTATAGAAGGAAGACGTCACAGCAGCAGAGGCAGAAGGTACTGAAAGTACAATTCCCTGAAGTCTCCCTCACAGAGCAAACAGTATGAGCAGGTGAGCCCTGTGCTGCTCTGTCACCAGCCAAGTGGGACGTCTGGTATATCGCATGCCCCAGAGCTCCGGAGAAGTCTCCTACTCCTACTCAACTATGGGAACATGCAGTGGCAATTGCTACCCACACTGGAAAACCATTCTAATCAGGTTTCACAGCCTCCCGCCATGAATCTGCCATTATCACAAATTAAGCACACATAAAAAATACTTTTCAGTTCCATTTAAGTGCAAAGCTCTGACTGGCCTGTAGTTCTACCCAAAACACATCTGCAAAAAGGCCTGCAATCTGCTGACTCCCCTCCTGACCACACCACCATCACCCATCAGGGTTTTCCTTAAACCAGCCCATCTCCATACGAGGGTAGGAGGATACTCTCACTGGAAACAAATCAGAGGATGAGGGACACAGAGAGGGGATGTCCCAGTGCTGAGGATGAGTGTGCCTCGCCTGGAATCTCTGTTCTGTCCTGCCACAGTCATTATGGGCAGACCCCCGACATTATGGGCTGCAGCCCCAACCATGGCTTCTACGAGTCAGTCCAAGGTCATAGAAAGGAGAAAGTAATGCACAGCCACACTCTGATCAAGTGATGGGATAGCTGCTCTTTACAGAGAGCCGCTGGGGTCGATTTTTAAACACACTCAGTATAGAATGTCTGTCCCTGAGCATCAGACATACCAGAGTAGTGTTTGGTTTTTGAGGTTCCTTATTGAGATTGTTTTCCTCTGCATTTTAAAAAGGAAAAAGTTAAAACATATGACTAAGCTATCCTTAAGTCGAAAAGACCAAAAAAAAAAAAATTAAAAATCAAGAATTATCGACCTCCATCCCCAAGGGTATATAAGAAATGATGAGTTCAACAGTTCAACACATAATGTCAGTCTGATCTAGTATAAAATAATAAATTGCTCTCATTTACTAAGTGCTTGCTGTGGGCTGGGCAGTACTAGGTACTGTATACCTTTCCTAACACCACCATAAGGAAGCAATATTATCCTCATTTTAGAGAAAAGGAAAATGAGCTCAATAAACTTAACTATCCCAGTCATCCAAAGCCATGGACTTAGACCTGTCTCCAAAGCCAATATGGTGAAGTTTTTCATTTGAAAATGTTGAGCCCAGAAGGGTTCACTGGTGAGTTCTACCAAACACTTAAGAAAAAAATTACAGCAATTATCTGCAATCTCGTTCAGAAGATAGAAGCAGAAAGAATACTTCCTAACTGGTTCTATGAGGCCAGCATGGCCTTAATACCAAAACCAGAAAAAGACATTGCAAGAAAAGAAAACTATAGGCCAAAATCTCTTATGAACATAGATGCAAAAATCTTCAACAAAATATTAGCAAATCAAATCCAACAATGTATAAAAAGAATTATACACCACAACCAAGTAGGATTTATCCTGGGTATGCAAGGCCAGTTCGACTTCAAAAATCAATTAATGTAATCCATCATGACAACTGGCTAAAGAAGAAAAGAACAAAAATCACATGATCTTATCAATAGATACAGAAAAAGCATTTGACAAAACCTGACATCATTCACAATAAAAACGACAACAACAAAAACCTCTCAACAAACTAGGAATAAATGGGCACATCCTCAAACGGATAAAGAACACGTACAAAAACATATAGCTAACATCATGTCCTACTTAATGGTGAGAGGCTACCAGCTTTCTCACTAAGACCACTTATAAGGCAACATCATACTGAAGTCCTGCTGATGCACACAGTTAGGTATGGCCATATGACCAAATTCTGGCTAATAAGGTATAACCAGAGGTAATATATGCAATACATGCTGAAAAGAATGAAATATGTTCTTCTGCCCTTTCCACCTTCCTGTTGGCTGGAACACAGATGTGACAGGTAGAGCTGGAGCAGCCATCTTGGGCCATAATATTGAAGTAACATCCTGAGTCAGGCAAAGCAATAAAACAGAAGTTGCCTGGGCCCTTGACAAACCTGGACCTGTTAGATAGGCTCTGGGCTGCTTCTTTTTACATGAAACACATGTAAACTTTTCTCTTATTCAGGACAATATTATTTTGAGTTTTCTGACACTTACAGCTTAACCTACTTTAATTAAGATACTGGCTTCATTTTACTTCATCAAAAGTGCCAACCTTCTTCTCACTGGAGGCTCCACATACAAGGTTT